TGGTCAAAGGTGTGGCGAAGTATTTGGGGGGGGGGGGGGGAACCAACAAAAAAAAAACCCAAAAGCCTTCGCGTTAGTAGTTGTGCTGGGAAACTATTCTGAGAAAGCCGAACTTGGCAGTCGCTCAGAAACATCTGCCGGCGCAGTCAAAGCTGGAGCGGGCTGCCGTGCTCTGAAATAAGGGGGAGCTGGAGTCCCTGAGAGCTCGCCGCCCTCACCCCCCATCAACATCAGCGCACCAAATGCTCCGATTGGATTATTTGCCTTATTTCAGCCACCTGGAGTCCAAATTGTAGCAATGTCTAAAGCTCTTGGGCTCCTTTCCACTGATTCTTACTCGTATGTCCCTTTCAGTTTTACCCTTTTTTTTTGTGGTGTTTAGGGATTCTCCAAGGAGAGGGGGCTAAAACGAGTGAAAAAATGAGCAGTAGAGTAGGAGAGCCGGGTTTCTCTGCTTCCACATTGAATGTTTAATAGAATTACAGCCCCCAGCGATGCTCTGTGGTCTTGCTCTGGAGAAAACATGATAAATATGCAATAGAGCTTGGCAGTTGTGAGCTCGTGTTGCTGTCTGAATGACTTTTTTTTCTTTTTTCTTTTTTCTTTTTTTTTTTCCCCTTTTGGCCCTTTCCAAGGTTATCATTTCCCAGAGTGGGCTTACAAGACTGAGTCCAGCCCCGGCTCCCGGCAGATCCAGTTATGGCATTTCATCCTGGAGCTGCTGCAGAAGGAGGAGTTCCGCCATGTCATCGCCTGGCAGCAGGGCGAGTACGGGGAGTTTGTCATCAAGGACCCTGACGAAGTGGCCCGGCTGTGGGGCAGAAGAAAATGCAAACCCCAGATGAACTACGACAAGCTGAGCCGGGCGCTCAGGTGAGCAGAAGTTTCCGTGGAGGTGAGGGGCTGGTAACGAGCCCTCCTTCTGTCCTTCCCTGCCTCACTTGTGCAGCTGACTGTAAATACTCAGCCCGTGGTTCGGTGGCACCTGCATTTCTGGGAGGTTTGAATGAAACTCTGAGTTCTGGGATGCCAGATTGCTTGGGTAGGTCTGGCTGACTTGGGTGTGATCAGAGGCACAGGGGAGGGAGTCCCTGGTTCACCGTGCCGTGTTCTGCGTCACGGTGCAAATTTGCACCTCTGGTTCAGGTTGTTATTATCAGGATGGCTTCCTTCGGGGGAGCTTTTCTGTCTCTTTTCTCGGCTTCCATTGCCGCTACTGGCTTGAGCAATGAAGGTGTGGGAGGAAACCAGAGGTGTTACTCTATTATCACACCATCAAGGGTACGGTTTCAGAGAAAGCAACTCCCCTTTCTAACATAACTTGTACCTGCCTCTTTACTGCTATATCCGTGCGAGGGAGAGGTTCGGTGCCAGTCCCACGGCGAGGGCCTGCACTGGGTGTTTCCCGAGCCCTGATGTCCTTAAGGACACGCTCTGGCCACCAGCGTCCTCATGTGTGAGGCGGGGGCTGCGTGTTCCTCACTTTGCGCTTCACAACTCCAAAGCCTCCAGTACAACTTTGCCCTCTTATTTAGAGCCTTCCATAGGGTTTGGGTTTTTTTCAGTTATCACTGTGTGTTTTGAAGTCAGACAGTGGAAAACTTGCGTGACGCTCTGAAGTATTTCAGCATTTCAAGCCTGTGACCTGCAGGAGCGGCTGGGTTCCTGACAGGTTCTGGCATTATCAATCTGTAACGTGGACTTCGCTGCCTTATGCCCTCTGATACCTCCTGGGTGGAGCTGACAAAGACAAACAAGGCAGCAAACACAAGAGTCTGGTACTGGAACAGGAAGGAAACAATAAATCGAATGGCACCAAGGCTGTAATTGGTGCATGGGAGTGGAAAATAGCCTCCACCTGCCAACACTGATCATGTCTTGGCATCTTGATGCCGAGCGTGACAGCAGTGGGGTGAGAGCACTGTGGGTATCAGCAGCCGCTTCAATTTGGGACCCGTGGCTCCTTCCCCGCTCCTGCTCGGAGCTGGCCCTGCTTTGTTTGGTGCGTGCTGTGGCAACAGGCGCCGTGTGTCAATCTGCCTGCTAAGAAGAGCGGTGGCGATGACCTGCGTGTAGCAGCTTTGTTTGTACACCAGTATGAGGAGGCTGAGGACAAACAGCGGTGGTGTAAGTGGGGAGGAGGCTGCGGTGGGGATTATACCCGCTGTCTCTCTGGCCGAGTTCTGCCTTCGTTTGGTGCCGCGAAGGTGAGGAAGGGAGGCTGGCCGGCGATCGGGGCTGGCTTTGAGTGCCTGCACTCCGCAGCCCTGATCAACGCTGCCTGCAAAGGCGAGGGGGTGGTTTTAATCCGAAGGTGCGAACGGGTGAACAGAAGGGAAGCAACTTGCTCACGGGCATGAGAGCAGCAGAAACCAACCCTCCCGATTTCCAGCTTGATGCCTGTACGCTGTTACAATACCCTGGGCCTTGAAGATTGCAGGAATAAAAAACAAATCTGAGGCTGTCTGGGTAATTTGGTCCCTTTTCCTCAGCTCCGTCGTTGCACTGAGTTTTGTTCCGCCCCAGCCCAGGTACACGTTCCCCTCTTGCAGGTTCTGTGTCTTAGCCCTGAATTTTCCCCTCCTGCTCTGGGTCCTGTAACGTTCCCCCGACAGTCACAGCCCACGTGGAGTGACCGCGCGTGTTTCGCTGGCTGCGGGGCACGCGCGTGGATGGGAATAGGGAGGTAGTGCCAGCGCCGCGTGGGATGCTCGTACGAGACCCCCCCAGCCCATGGCGCTGGTCCCGGTTTGGACAGGGGTGAGAACAGCATGTACAGGCTTGGCCTGTTGTTCAGCTTTCGCTTCCCTTCGGGGTCTCATCTTTTCCCACATGTTCTAAGGAGCACAATGACCTGTAAAACAGTTTGAAACCTACTGCTAAAGAATGTGTCAAAGGAATGGGTGTCGTTTGGAAGCTTCCCGATTGACTAATATTTTCTTGCACTAACAACATAAATTCTCTGGGCAGCTTCATTTTTGTAGGTACGTCGCGTGGATGTTGATGGCAGTAAAAGAAATGAGATCTTTAAACCCACCACCACGTGCTTTGATCAATCTCTTTAACTTTCGTTAACAGATACTATTACAACAAGAGGATTCTCCACAAGACAAAAGGCAAAAGGTTTACCTACAAGTTCAACTTCAACAAGCTGGTGATGCCCAACTACCCGTTCATTAACATTCGGCCTAACGGTGAGTGCGGGGTCGGGGCTGCTGCTTTTAACTGTCCCCGCTCCTGGCGTGTGGAACGGGGCCGGGATCGACCCCGCAGGCTCTGCAGATCACCTCTCGGTCATCTACGCCCGAAAGACTGCCGGGGCAATCAGCGCTGCTGTGGTGGGAATGTCTGGACGTTGATAAAGCCTTATCTGGAGCGATCTTTCCCGCGGGTTTGTCACAGACGCATCTGCGGTTGTCTTCAGGGGAGACTGGAGGCATTTTGGTTTCCTATTTGAGCTTGCTTGCTGGACTGTCTTTATGGGTGCCACGGGTTTGCTTTGCTTTGCTGTCGGGGGCGGGTGTCCTTGGGATAAGAGGGTTTTAGTTCTGTTGCAGGGACCTTGCCTCACTCACATGCTTGTAACGTAAGTTTATGGTGCCATATAAATGTGACCCTTCTTGACAAGGAGCTTAGAGGTGCATGGCGAGGCATGCATGTGAGCGCTATCTGAAAGTTCGCGGCTTAACTCCAGTTTGCTCTCCTCCCTGCTTCTGCAAAGGCCCCTTGTTTGCTTCTGTTCTGCTCCTTTTGTATCAAAAGGAACTTTTCTTAACCAGCTTCTATCTAGAGTTCAGAGGAACGTAATAGCAAGCGCAGAGCAGTTTCCGGAGCAGAGTAGTAACTCTTCTGAGTTTGACTAAAATCACAAGTATTTCTCGATTCTCCCTGTGGCAGAACAGCGTGCTGACATTCAGGATAACGAAAAAGAGTTTGGGAAGGGAGCGTAATTGTTCCCTGCTCATCCTAAAAGGCCTTTGAGTCTATTGCCAGGAGCAGTAGCAGGAGTTCACTTTGGGTTTGTCCCAGAGTCAGCAGTCCTACTGTGGTTTCTCTGGAAGAGGGTCGTCCTTTGTTCACAAGATCCTTTTTGGTGGAGTTAAGTCCCCCCATAGCTAGATTTCTACAGCTGGGGTGATTGCCTGCATAACTGCGCAGCCACCACGCAACCAGGGAAATTAGTGGCCATCGAGTCCATCAAAAAAAAAAACCCAACCTTCTGGAAGTCATTACGGCGAGGCCCGAGACTGCAAACTCTCCGCAGCAAAGAAAGCGCGAACGCAGAGGCGCCTGAACCAGCCTTTCTCACAGCACTGTGTGCTCAGTTCTCACCTCATGAAGAGTGCCCCAGGGGAAGCCTTGAAGATTCGTCTAGCAGGGAGAGAGCAGGGGAAAGTGGGGATTGAATGTTGACTCTGAAACCCCAGCGGCTGAGAAAAACAGGTTACGTGTGGGCAAGAGTATTTCTCATCGGCGCTCGTGTAGCCTGTGCCTACGTACGGCGGTGACTGCTCGTTGATCTTGGCAGTCGAAGCGACCTGCATCCCTCCCCACCCCTGGGGAGTCCCAGCTGGGCGCGAGCACAAATGTGATTCCAAGGCATTGTCTGCTAAGCAAACAGTAACCCCAAAACGGGGCCGGGAGAGTAGAAATATTCATAAAGGCGTTCTGCCTCACCTGTGTGGGACACACTGCCTTTATGGCAGCGGGGAGAAGGAAATGTATTCTCCAGGAGTCCCTAGCCAAAGCATGGGGGTGTAAGATGTAGTATGAAGCTGCACTGCAAATCTGTAATTACTTGCAGCAACGAGTCTGGGCAGTTCCAGCTCAATATTGCTCACTGCTGTTCCTTTTCCCTGTTTGCAGCCACTCCCTCCTATCTCTGGGGCATGCATTTAAAAAAAGAAGTTTGGAGAACTGGAATGCACTTGTCTAATTACAACCTGTTTTCTTTCCTTCTGGCTGGGATGGGGGTTGGGATATCAAACCTGTTTGGGGCACTGGGATCAGGTTTCTTCTCTCGGCTCTCACTCGCGCAGTTTTGAAGGGAAGGGAGAATCAACAGGCGCGTTGTGGAGGTGAGAAAGCGGGTGGAAGAATTTGCCTGAATATGGCTCGTTATGGCACGAGTAAGTCGTAGACAGGCGGCTCTGTAGGCACGGCAGTGGAAGCGGAGCCAGCGCGAGCTGGCAGCTTTACTGGCAGAAGCGTCGGAGAGAAGACGTCTTCCCAGAAAAGCACAAATCAGTGACTTTCAGTCAGCCCGGAGAGCTTGAGGTTTACCAGCAGCGCTTCTGCCGGTGGCGTTCGAGCACGATTGCTTAACTGTGCTCCTAACGCACTGTCGTCGAGACGTTTTCTGGTTAAACCAGAGTGAGAAGGTCAGGGGAGGGCGTCTGAAAGTGGAAGTTATTTCAGTGGCACTGGAGGTTCACGAAACCTCAGCCGGGGCGGAGAGATGAGAAGATTCATCCCCAGCCGTGGCGAGGTTTTGAGGTGGGCAGGGGAGACTGGAGCTATGCAGGGGAAGGGAGCAGATGGGAAAGGCACCTCCCATCTAATCGTCTGCTGCATTGTTGATAGCGCGTGGTATTTTTGTGTTACTCTTCCAAATGCCCGCGGGTGCAGCCCCAAAAGCAGCTCTTTACCTGTGATTTAACTCCCTCGGCAACTGCGCTCTTAACTCTCTCCTGTACTCTTTCTCTTCCCCCCTCCGTCCCAGGTGTCGTGCCACAGAGCGCTCCTCCTGTCCCCACGGCTTCGTCCCGCTTCCATTTCCCACCGCTGGACAGCCACTCTCCCACTGAAGATGCCCAGCCCAGTCGGTTCTCCGGTGGGTCCCTGGTCCCATCCAACCCAGAAGCGTTGGGTGACGGCGGCGAGAGGAAGCCGGACATGCCGGAGCTGGAGGACGGCTCCTCGGATTGGCGCCGTGGCGTGGATCTCATGGCCTCGCGCAACGCCGTGGGCGCTGGTAGCGTCAACCACCAGAAGCGCAAGCCCGATATTATGCTCCCTCTCTTCACCAGGCCCGGGATCTACCCGGATCCTCACAGCCCCTTTGCCGTGTCCCCTCTGCCGGGGCGCGGCGGGGTCCTAAACGTCCCGATCTCTCCTGCGTTGTCCCTGACTCCCACCCTTTTCTCCTACAGCCCCTCTCCGGGCCTCAGCCCCTTCACAGGTAGCAGCTGCTTCTCTTTTAACCCCGAGGAAATGAAACACTACCTGCATTCGCAAGCTTGCTCCGTCTTCAACTACCACCTGAGTCCGCGGACTTTCCCCCGCTATCCGCTCATGGTGCCACCACTACAGTGCCAAATGCCCCTCGAGGAGCAGCCCCAGTTCCCCATCAAGCTACAGCCTCCCCCCGTGGGGCGCAAAAACAGGGAGAGACTGGAAAGCACTGAGGAGCCGGCAGCCCCCCAGC